CCCGTCTAGACAAGATGAAAACTACTCAGTGTGTTTTCCCTCATTTTAAACAGTCTGTTTTATCTTGAAATCTGCTTGACTTCCTAGCCATTTGGAAGTTCTGTATCTACACTATTGCTTCTTTTTGCTTTGTAGTTGACTTCATTATAAATTAATATCTCCGATTTCCTTTTTCCATCTGTTTTACTTTAACTGCTTTTACATCTGGATTGAGTTCATGATGGTGTTGTCATGTATGTCATTCTCAGGTTGTTTGCTATTGTTGTTTCTCAGTCCAAAGAAAGCCCTTTAGTATTTTTTGTAAAGTTGGCCTTGTTATTACAAAGTCTTTTAATTTCTGTTTATCTGGAAATGTCCTAAATTTTACATTGTATTTGATGGATAGCTTTGCTGTCTTGGTTGGCAATTGTTTCCTTTGAGAGTTTTGTATATGTCTCCCCATTACTTCTTGCCTGCATGGCTTCTGCTGAGAAGTCAGAACTTAATCTTATTGGTTCTACAAGGACCCTGCTGTTAATCAACAAGATGGCGTTGCAGCTGCCTCCAAAATGGCACCAAATAAAATCCTGCTTAAGTGTCTGTTTCCTGAAAGATTAAGTTTCTGTTACACCAAGATGTGCCCTCCCCCAGTAGTTTTCAGTTTCCAGAACATCTCTGCCCACCTGGAACAACTCTGGCCATTAAGAGCCTGCCCAAACCACCTCTGGATCCTCCTATTACTCTACTTGAAACCGCAGCTCCTGTAAGGGACAGTTGAGCTCTTTGTCGCTCTTGACATTGAGACCCCCCTCTCAGGCTTATTCTCAGTAAACCTGCCTGTTGTTGAAGCCACATCCTGTCCACATCTCTTTGTTTCTTTCTTTCTTTCTTTCTTTCTCTTCTTCTTCCTCTTCTTCTTTTTTTAAAGTTTTTATTGTGAACTGAGTGAAAGTTTACAGGGCAGATAATCAGTTTTATATTCAACAAATCATATACCTTGTTTCATTACAATGCTTTTAATCCCCTCCATGTACTTGGTGTGGTGCTGTGGGTTAATGCGCCAGACTGCAAAGCTGTTTGAACTGCAAGGTCGGCGGTTCAAGCTCACCAGCTGCTCCTTGGAAACCC